GACTCTCCCGTGGGGACGGGGTCCGGGGCTGCAGCCCCTCACCCGTGCGCCCCCGCCTCCGACTCGCCCGTGGGGACCCTGGCGGAGGGGCGGCTGGGGGTGGGGACGGGGTCCGGGGCTGCTGCCACCTCACCTTTGGGCCCCCGCCTCCTCGTTTTCCTGCCTCTCGGGTCGCCAGCCCCTCCGTGGCCCTGGCTCATCCCACTTGCCCTCCTGCCGCAGCGGGAGGACCCCCGGAGCCTCCGGCGGCCCAGGGTGGGACCCTGGGCTGGGCACAAGGGGCATAAACGTTCCCTGGGTATGACCCCGCTGTTCGTCCTGTGAGGAGGGAGCAGAAGCATCGTGGGAGAAGGGCATGTGTGCAGGGCATCCTGAGTAGAATCTAACCAGACTTTGTAACATCTGGCCAGGAGGGCGGAGAACCCAGAATAACTCGTGTGTTTCCTCCTGGATGCCTTGCACACAGGGCAGAGTTGAAGGTCCAGACCCACTGGGTGTGGGACAAAGGTTATGGGATTCAAGGGTCGCCCGTTGGGCTTGGAAAACATCTGCTTCTTGGATGTTTTCTGAGAAGCTCAGTAAAGCCCTCTGGCAGCAAGTGTAGACCAAGCACCTCCAGGATTTGGATTGTCTTCCTTGTCCCCTCCATACACCCCAGACATTCGGGGACACAGATGACTCTGACAAACACATCTCTTTCTTTGTGTTCATTTACTTTCAGGAGCTGACTTGATCTGTGCCATTAGTTTCATAATTTGAGTCCTTATATACAAAGAAAAAAGGCAATTTTAAGCTTAAAAAAGAAGGAACTGTAGAAGCGTAGAAAGTCAGAGCTTCAAGGGACTTTCAGGGTGGATCTGTCCAACTCCTATTTAGTGGAGATGTGACTAGTCCACAGTTTCGGAGTCTTGGCAGCATAGCTGCGACTAAAATACATTTCGTTTCTCCCGGCAGAGCAACAATTTCTTCCCTCCAGTTTTTTTTTTATTGTGGTAATACACATTTGACCAGCACAGCTACTTTTTATGTACCAGACTGTCTTTTGATGGCGAGAGCTGCCAACATTGCTTTCCACTCTTTCAGAGGCTTCGCGAGCCCCATTCGAGGAAGGTCTGGGAACATTTTCTAGGCTGGGAGGGAGACTGGCCACCTCAACTCGCCTCCTAGGTTCCTTCTATCTTTAAGGATTTATAATTCATATCAAATTCTGAATTATTCTGACATCCTTAACACTTTAGGAGTTGAAAAACTATGAATCCAATTCATCTTGGATTTAAACTTTCAAGTATTTTGAATTTAAAGTATTGCGAATACTGGCCTTATATCAGTTTGTAAATCTTCAGAAGGAATGTTAAAATTTCATGTCAAGTCTTAAAGCCCAAACAGTGTGATAGGATTTGTTGGTTCCCAGAAGTTTCCAGTGTAAGGATTATGTTTTGAAACCCCGTTCAGGCT